GCTGCCACCTTCGCCCGCGTCTTGCTACACACTAATTCTACGTAGGATTCTGCTATTGCTGGTTCAGCGTACTTCATCATCTTTCTATCAAAGTACTTGAGCAAAGCAACTAACATGTCGGCTGCACTGAGTTCGGCCAACTTGGGTTCTTCAGCCGAAGGCTCCAAATCGATTGTACCCGAAGACACATGACCCAAAGGCATCGGCTATTGCTCCACAACACTTCTTCCCACGTCCTCCACTCCGCGATCTATGATTTCTTCCACCGAATTGGGCTCCACTATTGTGTCTATTAGCTCTACTGGTACGTCCGAATACTCCTTAACCAAAGGCGTGTACACAAGTGGTTGCCTCGGAGGCCGACGACCCTGATTCGAGTTCTCCAGTTCCCACCTCCTTGCTCTCGTCCTTTCTCCAGCGCATCTTCCGCGGCCACTACCGAAAGTCTCCACTCTAAAGACCGAAGGTCATTCGTCGTCGGTTCCTGCTTCTTCCGGTTTCATCTCGGCCTATTCCTCCGAAGTTACGTGACACTAAGATGCGGCCTCACTACACTCAATGCTATCTTCTTTTCCAATCCGCAGCAGGCGTGCCTTCATCTTACTATGAGCACACACATTCGCCAATCTCATCTTCGTAAGAATTGGTCTTCGAACCCGCAACTCTGCTTGTTGATCAATTAGCTCCGAAGTCGTGACACTGCATTTTCATCCTCTTCTTCGGGGAATGTCTACCACATCCTCCAATTTGTCGACTTTGGCCGAAGACGATTCCAGTGCAATGTCGTCCCCCTCGCTGGCAACTTCATTGCCTCCAAGCGCCTCTTCGTAGTCCGCTGTCTCCGTCTCGAGCGGAAATCGCTTCTGCTCGGCTGCAGTCAACAAGCCCATTACTTGGTAAAAGTTGATAAAGAACAGGAACATATAATTCACTGATTCCCCAAATGCCTCGTCAATGTACTGGCGTGTAGTGCCTAATAAGATGCGTGACTAGTGAATAGACCTCCCACTCACCGTGCGCTCCACAAATTTGACCTGCCATGTTGCCATGTAAGTTGTTCGCAAAGGCCGAAGGATCCGCATCGGGGCCACCGCTACCGATCACGATACTCCGTCGTCCGGTACCCGTTCTTGCGCGAATGAGGTTTCTTGAATAATTGCGTGAAGGTCTTCTTTTTCGAGTGGGTCACCTTCACGCTTTCATTCTCGAAGGTCAAATCCCCATCTTCTTCTGCGCATGGTGCTAAGACCTTTGCCCAATACTCGACAGTCCAAATCGCCGGATTGCCACGAAGTCCCTCAGCTTCCGGCGTGCGTCTTTCGTGCCACTCTTGCACCATTGCTGCGCAAACCCAATTCCATTTCCACAACAAGAAATTGAGCTTGACAACTACCAGCTCGTTGAGATTCGCTCTCAATCCGAATTCCGGCACCTTTAATGTTGATAATCAAAGTTCCGAAGATCGCACCATTGCTGCTCTCTCACTTTCTCACTCGTGGACCTCATTGAGCTCTCAATTCGAGAATACACTCTAGCGGAATGTCGGCGTTGAACTCATGTTTCTCCCAATGTAATTTGACGCCTTAACGGCATTGTAAACTTGTGCAAATTGACAGTAGAAATGTTTGAATTTCATTCCCGTTTGTCGCCGTCTTTTACTTCCCCGAAGACTCTTCTTCTATAACACCGAAGGAGCTAACGCCGAAGTCCGAAGACGGTACTATCTTTTCGTCGAAACATGTCTTCCACTGCATACCTTTGTAGCTCAGGATTCCTTTCCCCATTTCCAGCGTTCTTGGGCTCCTTGGAACGAGCTAGCCAAGCTCTACCTATTGAGACCCTGTTTATCCATACTCCTACTTAGCGTCTAGTCTAAATTCCACTATTTACTCTTCTTCCGACTATTCCTATCCTAAAAGTTTGAAATTACTAGACTTCTACTATTCAAACTTACTCTTTTCAGAGAACATGAAAAACCAAGTTACCACAATTCTCAATACCTTCTCCAAAAGGATTTTAAACACAAACAAGGCTCAGGGGCCAGGAAAAGATGGGTTGTACAATGTGGTCATCATGGATCAAAATAAAGATACTTCCGCGAGTGGAATGAATGTTTCTGTAATCTGCAGGATTTGATCTTCTCCCCTACTGCACATGTGGAGTCTTAACATTCCTCGAACTTGAATTGTAGTGATTATTTCCTTAACAAAGAAGTGTTAGAATCAGAAGCTGTCAAATGTCTTGACGCTATAATAAAGCTACGATAAAGCTCTTTGCATCATGATCAACATAAGAAGATTTTCGGTTCCTTCCCTGACTATCATTTTCACCTTGGGTTCGATCTAAACTTCGTCCAGCAGTTAACGCAGAATCTTTCGAACGAACACGATTAAGCAATCAAGCGAGCCCAGTCAATCCCCCGGTGCTCGATATCTTGTGCGTTGGACCTTCGGCTCTTACTCGATAGTGTTCCCCTTCTACTCCTGGTCCTTGACAGACCTGCTCAACAAATTCAACTCAAAGGTTGTTCAACAGCACAATATAAGAGAGTTCAAATTGATTTCATCAACGAGAAAATATATAGATTTCCAAGATCTCTTAGTACCGTAGCCTCTCTCTGTTTACTCTAACACAACTTTAAACATGTTACAATGCCTCTCTGTTTATTAACGTAATTGTATACCTCATGTATACCTGTTACGGGAGACTATTAGCTTTCCATAAGACTACTAAGTCTCAACTCTCTGTGCTACTCACTCTGATGAGAAAGGGAAAACAGGCAACGCTTATATACAAAACAGGCCAAGAAACAGGCCAAGGAACGCGACAAGCTTGAAGCAGCTTGATCGCGTACCACATAAACCAAAGAGAAAACAAGTGTGTCAGAAGTGTGTCACAAGAGTGACACGGAAGTGTCAGAAGGTGAAGAAGGCCACCTTTCTGTTGTGTGTGATGACACGATGCAACCACACAATACTATACTACAATAAGCTCAGGGTTTAACCGACAGTTGTCTCCTCACTTGACACTAGACAACCGAATTTCAGAACCTCTGCAACTGAATCGAGCCCAAGTGTTAATCGAGATTTTGTGGACCACGAGATGCCTTCAACTCAGTGCCTCGAGCTTCCAAACGGTAAACTCCGAGGCAGAGCTCGCAGCCAAAATGCTTCACCGGCACAGGCACAGGCAACAAGTTGAATTTCCAAAAACCAAAACCAACAATCACGGTCTCAGCTCAGGAGCTGAACGGTCGGAAAGCGTGAGGGAGGGAGGGAGGGAGGGAGGGAGAGTCTGGAGCCTCAGATGAACAGGCTTCCAAGCTCGAGGTGCAGCGTTGTTCTCATTTGCAGCTCTCATCGCGTGGTTGTAAACACTCCCGATCACCAGTCTGGAGGGCTGCATCGAGAGTGGCATGGCATGGCATGTGCGATTCTCAGTCCGTAGATGGAGCTCTGGTCTCACTTGAAAGTCGATCGGCCGTGTCAACATTTGAGGAGAGTGTTGCACTCTGCCCGAGCGAAGTCTTCACGACGACTAGCACCTCGTTTGTCACCAGAAATTGACCTCGATCCTGTTAGATAAACCCTGTGGCAGATAGTTATTTGGTTTTTTTCTAAGTTATTTACATTCACTATTTTGTAATCATGGAGTTGTATCTATACCACGTATCTAGGTCATCCTGTACATTGTATCGACCCCTCCCACACTGCAGTTCCTTTATGTGTTTTTTCTTTCTAATATACAAGGTTAGTATTATCAGCGCAGATGCGGTGCAGCAAGGTGCTGGTTACTTGGGCATACTTCGTGGTGGCAGCTGACTTGACTGCTCCCGTGTGAAACTTCGCTCCGTGCGATTTCCGTCAGTGTTAATTTTGTTTGCGGAGTATTTTTATCTAAAGGCTTGCTGGTAGTTTAATTAGTCCGATATAGTCTACTCTGAATGGCAGGTCCGCCTATTTAATTGCACGACTTAAAAATCAATCCAATGGTTGGATTGATTTTTAAGAATCAACCGGTCGTGGTTGTATACCGACATATCGGGTTCGAATTACTGTGAGCCAGGTAGTCGAGTCCGAGTAGATGCATCCATCTTCTTCTTCTACACTCCAGGATTTTGTCATAAATGTAAGTGCACTAGGCGGTGAGTCACCACCATCTCTCGAACTCTCAATCTATATCCAGATTCACACCCAACCGTGAGCCATGCAAATGAACCAAAGACAACGAAGCTCTGTTGTTCTATGTGGAGAAAATTCAATCAACACAGAAAACTGATGTGCGTTTTCTTGTGCGCTTGCAAGCTTATGCATTCCCAGTTCTCGATCGTTCATATCATCGATTCATTCAAGGGAGAAAATTGCTCTGTTTCTGATGCGTGTGCGAATCTGAATCTGAACCGAGATTTCGATCTCTCGCTTTCGATTTGGATGCACGACTACGACCGAACCTGCTCAATAACTGCGGGCCTTCCTTCCCCTGGAGCACTCGAAACCAATGAAAATCGCATCACTCCCTAGTTCATGACGGCAATCCAAAACGAAGCTGAATTCGCAGCTCAGATCGCAGCTCAGAATTCCGGTGGAAAAAATGGTAAACCCCATGACTTAGTGATTTCCAGCCCTTTCCCTTCCTCGAGCTTGAGTCTAAATACGTTCTTCATGAAAATCTGGAACTAGTACTGGGCAACAGAGCTCACAAAAGCTTTGGATTGCGAAGGCTGCAGACGTAATATCTACAAATGTACATTGACAGAGTTTCACAAGCACGGCATTTTTCTGCACGGCATTTTCTTACAAGCAGAGAATCATGGCAAAATGTAAAACCCTCCTAAGCTAGAGACGGGAGATATCCACAACACTCTACAAACGATATAAATAAAGGATCGATAACATTTGTAGAAGGAGGACGCGCGTCATCACGAGCTCCAGGCCGGCTCTGAACCTGGTGCCGACGGAGGCAGACCAGGAAGCGGACGACGTCCCGGTCGTGGTAGAAGGCTAGAAGGAAACTACGTCGCTGCAGTTGCGCGGAACGAACCCGATCTGGCTGTTGGCGCGGTCGTAGACCACGTAGACGTTGCGCTGCTGGTAGTTGCCGATGATGGACGGCGAACCGGGGATCATGTACAGACAGAAATTCGCGTCGCCGGCGCTCACGAACGTGTTGAGGTAGGACAGCTCGTAGTTGGCGCCGGTGAAGTTGAACGAGACGGTCGGGACGCGCGCGGCGATATCGGCGGCTGTCAGGCCCGACGCGTTCCAGCAGTGAAATCCGCTTATCCCACCGGGGATCTGCGGGAAGGGTATCGCGGCGGCCAGCGCGGTGACCAGCGCGTCCAGCGCCTGGGGCTCCAAGTTCGTGATCGTAAAGCCGGAGTCGAAGATCGTCCCGCCGTTATCGGCGAACACGGAGCTGGGGATTTCCAGCGGCTGGCCCGCGACGCTGATGGCCTGGAGCCCGACGTTGTAGAACGTTGTGTCGTTGTGGAGGATCGGGGTGTACTGGATGCCCGTCGCGTTGGACAGCGCGGCGCTCCCGAAGAGGATCGGGCTCGTCTGCGTCGCGACGGCCGTGGCGAGGACCAGGCAGTAGGAGAAGATGTTGCCGAAGCTGTCACCGAGCTGCGATGGGAAGGAGAAGTCGCCCTGGCCGAGCCCGACGAACCCGTCTGCTTTATTCGAGGACAGGCCGGAGTCGCTGAAGAAGCTCTGCGAGCACCCGAAGAGAAAGTTCGGCACGTCCACGACGGCGCCATCGGTGGACGTCAGGTGGATCGTTTCAACGGCGAGGTCGCCCGTCATGTTGGAGCCGTCGGCGTAGGAGTAGAAGAAGTTGCAGCTCGCGTTCGAGGTTGAGCCCGACTGCATCGGGCAGTTGGGGTGCGTGAAGTCCGGGAGTTGCGACGTGAACAACTGGCACGCGCTGTCGGCGCAGGTCAGGTTGGCGTGCGACGAGGACCGCGACGGGTCGTACAGCGGGTCCGCCTGCGGTAAGCAGTGCTCGCACGGTTGGCACTGCAGCCACGTCAGGTCGCTTCCCGTGTCCGCGACCGCGACGAAGTTCTGCGCCGGCGTACCCAGCGAGATCGTCATGACGTACACGTCCTCGATCACGGTCATCGTCAGGTTGCTCAAGTACGTCGGCAGCCCGCCGCCGCCCGCCAGCAAACGCTCGTGCCGCGACCGCAGCACCTCCGACCGCCTCCTGCTCGACTGGAAGTCGCGCTCCGCCTTCTCCTTGAACGACAGGCTGCCCGGCGCTGCCCGCAGCGGGTGGTCCTTGTGCACCAGCTCGGCCTTGATGCTGCGCCACGGACCGCCGGACATCTCGGGCGTCTCCGGTCGCCTGTGGCTTCCAGAGGGCCGATCGGTCGGGTCTGAGTTTGCATCTCGATTCAATTCCTGCGGCGTGCACGTCGTCGTCGAGATCGTCGCCATCAGCAGTGACACGAGACAGAGGACGAGTGACGAGGCCATCGCTGTCGACGATTTGTGTTCGGTCGATTCGGATTTTTTTAGTTTTAGGTTGAATCTCTCGTGGAGCTGGGCTGGGTTTAGCTGAGCTGATCGGAGCGAGAGATTGCGAGGTTTTCTAAATTGTAGCTGACTGCGATTTCATGGCTGACATCTCGGAGCGACACGACGATACGATAGATGAGATATAGAGTTCCTGTCGCTACATCCGGCTCAGATCTTCCATCATGGAGCCTGAAATCTCAGCCTCGTTCAGATATTCAAGACGACTCACACAACCTCAACCAATTTCAAAACGAAATAATTCTCACAACGCAAATTCTCACACTATCAGAACAGAAAAATAATCCAGCGATCTGATTCACGATTATGTAAGGACCTAGTCGCTTATGTAATGACTTAGCTAAGAAATCTAAAAAGCTCCTAGAATTCGAGATCCACTACTCCGAGCTCACTACTTCTCGACTCCTCGGTCCTCTCGACGGTGAGCGACCCGAAATTCATGCAAATGTGCGAACCTTATGAACCTTTCTGCAATCTACTCGCTCCTGCTTAATGAACTAGTATGGAGCCTTCCGTCGATAGAACCTAGCTTGGCTCGAGCTCATGATGGCATGTTGCGGTGGTCTGAGCTGCAAGGTAGCTAGATATGCATTTGGAACTTTCGGCTCAGCACAAAGACCGGAGGAGGAAGAGGAAGAGGAAGGGGAAGGGTAACGAGGTCGAAGCTGTGCATCATCCGACTAAAGCTCCCCATGAGGTCATATTCTTCTCGAGGCTTTTCCGCACGTGACCTGTTCCGACCCCAACCTCGAGCTCCAGGTGGCTTGTGATCAGTAATATGACCCTCCAGGGACATGAACAAGATTTTCTTTTCTTATTTCTCTTGTTTGACGAGACTGATCTGTTTTCCGGCTTCAGTTGGTAGCTGACGTGATTGTCTCCTGGCCTGGCCTACGTCCGCTTATGGTGGTGAACCGAGAATGAATGTCATGCATGGATGCCCGAGATCACACAGATCCATATATTAAGTCGATTCCAGTGATTTGACTATTCGGGTTGAGAGAATCAATTGTCCACTGACAACAAGATACAGAATCTGCAGCTAATTTGACTGATGACCAGAGGAGCAAGCGTCAATTGACACTGTGAATTGATTTTAAAAATGTGGAATGTTGAGGCTTTCGTGATGAAGTCTGAGGAAGGAGCTGCACTGGATGTGTGTATAATGATTGATCATGATTTCGACAAACCTCTGCTTGCGATCTCTTGCGACGTATGTGAGACACCATAGCACGTGCAAACTGGTTATTTGTAAAATACACCGAATAGAAAATTCGAACACTTGATAATTATATCACATTGTTCTGTTTGCGAGTCTGCAGGATCTGAGACTGACTCAATGTCAAAGTGAATCTCAATGATGGGCCCGAATATTGTGTGATCTCTGAACACCCGGACGTGTGAATAGACCACAGAAACCTCAATATGCTAACTTCTACAGGTTTCAGGTTGGGCATTGCCCCATCGAGAATATCCTGCACAGGATTAGGAAGCTGTTGCACAAGTAATCTCTTCGAGGAGCTATGGATTTGCAATTGGGATTTATGATAGTTTGTGGAGGCGAAAGGGCCTAAAGCCGTTCAATATTACGGATACTCCTCGGGGTCAAGGTCAAGGTCTGCTTGCCACTCTTTCCGATTGCCCTCATTCAGGGTCTTGCACTTCCCATCATTCTTGGCACTGGAGCTACTTTACTTTAATCCGAGGCACTTGTAATCATGGATGGAGGAGTCTTTCTGTAAGTACATGTGGCTATTTCTGACAGCTTACTTATCCTTCTCTTAAATAGTGCTCGCTGGAGATGGACCTGAGGGTGTAATTGTTATTAAATTAGTTCATGATCTGATAGTAGGAAAGCCGAGCATTTTGCCCCGCCTTAATAGACTGGACTTTCTATTTTTTTTCCTTATAAATCTTGACCATCTGCTTCGCCAGATCATTTTAATGTGGAACGGTATTAAGAAACATTTACTTACCGTATCTTACCTTAAGTTTTGAACTTGAGTGTAGACTTGATCTGTCATGATGATGTATCTTCGATTCACACTCGGGTATCGCGCAATGAACCAAACAGAGCGTCGCAAGTGAGGAGGAACCATGGAAGTACACGTTAAATCAACAATACATACAACAATTTTTAGAAATAGAGGTAGAAAAATCAACCCCAACTTATTCATAATAGTAGACATGAATAACATAGAATACTTTTTGGGGATATATAATCATTTTATATGATTTTTTACTGCATATAATGTTCTAGAATGATATCTATAAAATAGGTTATATAAACATTTTTTTAAATATAGGAGATACGACCTATTACATAAAGTGATATCATTGTGATAATTCTGAAACAAGTCAAATCCCAACCTTCATATTTCATGTTTAACAACTTTATCCATATGTGTATTCATTTTTGCGAGCAATCATAAACATCAAATATTTAATGATATCATTAGAAGTTTTATCATAAAATACAGATGAACATGGATTTATTTTACTTCATCCTCTCTGATAAGTATTTGCACAAAATTACAACTTTAAAATTCTTGTACAATGTTCTCTGGTCGAGGTCAATCCATCAGGGGAATCACTCCGCGGTAGTATTAAACTCACAATCTCCTGAATAACACTGAGTATGTTCATAACAATATGATCTAGAAATAAATTGCAGCTTTTGCTGTTTGCACATGGTGCAACAAAAACTGACAGGTGGGATGATTATGGGTCCTTGAACTTTCACTTTCAAGACAAACATTTGAAGACCCATAACTTGGCATAAATTAGACCACACCTGGGATGCTTGCTCGGCGAGGTTACAACCGATGGACAACTCGTCAACAAAGTCTGACTTTGAGCGCTTTGTGTGAGTAAGCCAACTAGCAATAAAAAAATGCAGTTAGTTTCTGATCTATTACTTTCTGGTAACTCTCGTCGATTCTTAAAGTCCTACGTCTCTACAAACCTCTAGACACGTAAGTCTTGCAGTGTATAGATGCGAATCGTCGGCAAAGCTCTCAAGGACTCTCCGTGTCTCGAGTAGTTAGGTCCTTCCGACCGAAAAAAGAGCTTTATCTCATGTCACTCGGGCTTCTGACAGAAGATTGCATTTCCACCCTCTTGTAAATTAGAGACGATGGATCTTTGTGCAAATCAACATTGTCATAATTTCTCGTCTCGTCGCTTTGTACATTGGTGTCAGCAAATGGATTACACGGTAACAGTTTTCATGTGTCAAGCAGGTCTGGGAGTTTTAATTCAGCTTGTACTAATAGCTTTACAGCATAAAGAGTATGGCTATCACGTGGAGAAAACAGTCCATAAATTTCCTCATATGATACACAGAGAATGCAGACTGACTCCATTCGCAAGCGGAATTGTTCGAGTGAAAGACGCGTACGCAGCAGAATATAAGACTGATGGGTTTTCGAAGCTTCATGTTTTGGGCGAGCACTTCAAACTGACAGATTGTTCTACAGGATGTGACCAGCCACGCTACCTTACAGTCACACAGAGCTACTAATATCCCCGTTGAGAGCTGAAGTCACACTGGCGGAGTGCTCCTTTAAGAGGCCTCGCTGCACTAAGAGGAACCGTAACCGGGTCAATCTCAACAAGCACCGAGACTTGTATCTTTAGCTAACACGAGTCCTCACAATCCCCTCGTCTTCCACACATCTCACGTAAAACCGACTATTCCACGACGACCGTGACGAAGTCCAGGTTTCTTCTCAATCGTTTGAAAACATATGCAATTATTCACACTCACCTCTGCATCCGAGTGTCTTGTCGATGTTTTTACAAGGCTCTATGGCTTTTAAGCTTCAATAGGGAATGGTTTGCTTGCTAATAAATGATTCGGACTTAGAAACCGAAATCTGTTCTCCGTCTTTGAGCCTCAACGCTGTTATGTTGCGAGAGTAACGTTGAAGATGCAATGATATTATGACTAACTATTTACCTTTTTGGATACGGTCTATGATTTACATATCCCCATCGCTAGTCATGATTTATATAGTAGTATAGAAGCGTACGTGCAATAGTTATAATAATAAATAAATACCAAAATGAAACATAATGATAAAGATCTAATCACTCGAGAACAAAATTAACACCGGAGTACCTGTAATTACCCACCAAAGGCTAAAACTGCAGTATGGTGGTAAAAAGATCAAACCCACAGGGACAGAGGCAACACACAGAGTAAAAAGTGTCACGTTTAATAGACTTTTGTAGAGTTTGAATTCTCAGGCGACTTTCACTCCCAGAAATACTGCAGTGCTCGACTCGGAGGCCACTCGGAGGATGCTCGACTCGGATGTCACTCGGAGGATGCTCGGAGGATGCACAGTGCAGCGTAGTCACTCAACACACACACACACACCTGAAACTGGCAAAAGCACAACTCGGAGGTCGGTCAGGACCTCCGCTTCGGATTTCAGGGGGAAAGTGTCTCAAAAGTTCACTCAGAGGCTTTGCAGGTAGTGACTCCCACTCCGGCTTTTACAGCCCTTCCGCCAGGAATTAGCGTAGGGAACCCGGACTGGACTTCCCACTTCGGAACGAAGTCCCTCACACGCAGTGGACGTCACCCTCGACTCACACCAAGCGCAGAGAGTACAAGCCCGACTGAGAACTTAACTGATACACAATCCAGTAACACACACAACCTGAATTGCAAACCAAGGCTTACACGAAGTAATAAAACTTCACTTTGGCATTCAGGGGAAACTTCCCGTAGGAGTACAATCAGGATATGTCACTCGAAGGAGTAAGGGGGAATTGTTCAAGTCTCTAACTCGCAACCAGCTCTGAGCATCAGAAATCACCCGCAGGTGCAGATCCGCACTACTCAAGTCTCTAACCGGGTACTAGCTCTGAACATTCAGCCGAAGGCCTTCAACTACAACATACGGTAACTTCGCTATGCTGCAGCTTCT